TGTATTTATATCATGTAGCATGGATATAAACACTGTCTCTTTTGAGACTCAAAGTTCTACTTAGTTTGTGATTTCCCACCAGGAATACCTCATTCCCTGAGCAGAGTATTGGGTAATTCCCTTCAGGATTTCACTCATTATGCCATGCACAACTCACCAAGAGAAAAATCCAGGGACATACTCACTTGTCATTTCCAGTAATTTTCTAGAAATCCTTACAATTGATCAGTAACTATTAGTTCATAGATGACCATTCTACAAAAAACAAGTTATGGAGCAAAAGGATTGGGAAGAAAGAACTAGGCACTCAAAGTCTGAGTTTAAATCTAGATTTTTCTATTAATTAAGACTGAAACTATATACCAAAGCTGTAATTTTCTGACCTGGTTAATTTTTATTTACCTGTCCATAATTGGGTAGATATCTGAGACATACAGCTCATGAAAGAGGATCAGGGATATGGCTCAAGGGAGAAACTTTACTTTTCACACATAAGCCTATATGTCTAACCTGAGCACTGTAGGAATGGTCATGATAGTAATATGAATCAAGACAGAAGAGCTACTATATCATATTATTGTTTTAATGAAATTCAATGATCCACATAATATAGCATGTAAGACTGTCCTAGATGTATAAAAAGGTGCAATCCCTCTTCCCTGTTCCATATCTTTCTACAGATAAACCAGGGTTTCTCATCCTCATCACATGGACATTCAGAGGAAGGAAATATATGCTGTGTTGCTCTCCAGTGTAACACTGAATGAATGTCATCCCTTAGCCCTGCTCATTAGTGTATGCCAGTATTATAATCCACATCATTGCCACCAACATGCCAGTTGAGGCTAAGAAAACTTGTCTAGATATTCTAATATATTCCACAGGCACTGTTGAGACTTAGAAAATGGTGTGCTTGATACAAAAAAGGCCTTCTGACTTTTAAGTTTTCTGCTAAGTAACTTGATGATATTCTAACAGAACATGCCTCATAGGTCACTCGACCTTTTTCTAATGCAGACATTGATACTTTTTCTGGATAAATCCTCTACTACAATAGGCCATTACAACAAAGAACTTACTTAAGTTAAGCTGTAGAATATAGAATCACTCCCCTCTAAATAAACCAGAAAACAGAAATACTGTTCTTCCTAGTTCTATGCCTCTGTGTGTGATCAGCTGATCATTAAGAAATTGTCTTACCTTCTCTATCTTAGAGTGAATCAATAGGCCTCCATTCTAGAAGGAGTCTTGGCATGTACTCAGGATGAATGAGTATGACACAAATGGAACAAGAAGAATCAGAATAGAGAGGCTAACCAGGTTTCATATTTCAAGTTGCTAATTAGTTCCTACTTTTTTTCCAATCACACTTATACATAGCTTTTCAGACTCTCTCAGCCTTAGCCATAACACTGGACTGTTTTCTTTGAACTCTAAGTTTTTGGTTTCTATTCACCTATTTCTTGCAAAATCTTGAACAATTTTATCTACCATATTTGTCTTTTATTAATCTATCCTTTGTTTTAAGAACGTTAGACTCTGTCCACAGGTACACT